TTTGTGATCGCGTGAGTGATTGTGTTAATTACAAGTGAATGCTATATAGTTTGAGATCCAAATTAAATGTAACGTTTGGGTGGAGTGTATGGCCTGTCTTGTGATTGATAAGGGACTGACTCCTCATATGTTTTATGTACTGAATATAATTTATATAAAATTTTTATTATTTAAGACATTTTTGTCTTAATGTCTTTTATGTACAAATGTTTTTACAAATGAAATAACTGATAGATACTGTATAACTAAATATTATGAGTTTATAAAATATTTTATATACTATCAGATAATTATACAATAATTATACAAATGTAAAATAAATATTTTTCTAAAAATACATTTTTTGTCATTTTTATTTATAACTTTTTTATACAAAAAATATATTTTCCAAAGTTTTAAGATTACATTATAAGCAAAAATACAATTAATTAGAAAAATCCAATTTAGTTCTATTGCTTAAACTTTATTAAATTTACAATAATTTAAGTATAATGAAAATTGAATTATTTAAATCATATATTTTTGCACTAATCTGTTGATTTAATTTAGTTTTATCAATGATTTATGAATTCAATTTTTGCAATATATTAATTGAAATTAGGTATTTTGATATAGTATTTATTATTTGTTTTATAATATATGATGAAATAAAGTATTTTATTTTTTTAAATAAATAAACTTTAATTATAGCAAATAATTTTTATAAATTTTTATGTAATTCAATCAACACAATTTAGGATTAATATATTAAAAGCAATTATATCTTAATATAATTTATATCTAAACACATTTTACGAATAGCTATTTAAAGTTGAATATTATTTTGATTGAATTGAGTACCACTTCTCTATACTTCCAAAAAAATATTTGTTTTAATCAAATATACGTTTATTTTGTTTAAAAAGTGTAAAAAGCAATCATTTGAAAACATATTTTTCTATCAAGTTATTCATTTAAAGTTTAAATGTTATTCAATATATTTATTATTAGAAATCACTAAATTTGATTATTGGAAAAATTACATCAATATATTTGTTTGTATACTTTATTTAAAAATTTTCTTTTAAAAATATACTATTATTGTGTACAAACATTGTATACATTGATTATTTTAAATATGAAATAATAGGTTGTTTTATACAAATGGCACACAAATAGTAAGACTGAATGGGATTTCAATGGTTTGATTGAAAGTTAGCAAAGTTTTGTTGAGTGACTTTTCTTTCCTGTGCTCTTATAGTTAGTGTTTAACTAATAATTTTAGTTTATTATAGGCTGACTTTGTTTTGCTAACAACTAGTTTTCAATTAGTGATGCAGTCGATTGAGAGCACAGTTAGTGCCACAAAACAAGACAACTGCAACAACAACTTGTGTACTATAAGAGAGAGAGAGAGAGAGAGAAGAGAGAGAGAGAGAGAGAGAGAGAGAGAGAGAGAGAGAGAGAGAGAGAGAGAGAGAGAGAGAGGAAGTTAAGGATTACACTAAAACAGTCAATTGATGACATTTTTTGCCCTTAAGTATCTTTAGGTTTCAATTAGTTATTATATGATATATTGCAGATTATATTGTACTGTATATCAATGAAATCAATAGTAAGTTATTTGTAATAATATAGTGATTGTCGCAATACAGTATACAAACGATACAATTGATTAATGTTTTACTATTTACCAAACATTTCGACTTATAATTGATAAATTTTAATTTTTTTAATATCTCTTTCTCACTCACTCACTCACTCACTCACTCACTTACTTACTCACTCACCCACTCACTCACTTACTTACTCACTCACCCACTCACTCACTTACTCACTCACTTACTCACTCACTCACTCACTCACTCACTTTTATTTAATCATTTTTTCTCAAGTGTGTGTCTGTGTGTCACTTATAATTTAAATGCTTTTATTAATCATTAAGTCAACACTTGGTTGAGACACTTTCTGATTAATTTTCATCAATATGTGTCTGTTTTTATGGTACAAAATACAGTTTCCTATCATATGTTGTATATATGATTTAGTGACCAAAACGTAACGGGAGGTCCGGCACAGTGCTGGAGCCACAGGAGCTTAGTTTATGGTGTTGTTCACTCAAATTAGTATTTTCTTACACTTGTAAACATTGTATATATTATTTATATTTCCACTTTATGTTCACTTTTAAGACTTTTTCATTTAAAACAGAAACCAAACTGTAATTTAAAGAAAACTATTTGTCATAAAATATCAACACAATTGCATTTATGATCATTTGATTGATCCAAAACACCCAAAGAGTTATTATTAAAAAACTAAAAACTTTGCTATTATTAGGTTACGAAACCAAAAGATTAGTGTAATTTGAAATCAATTTACTTTAACTGTCAAAATATAATCTAATTAATTGATAATTTTTTAAATGTAACATTATATAGTAGTAATGTATATAAATTTATTTATTTTTAAAAATACATACTTTTGTCTATATAATAAACTTTTTATAATTATGAGCTCAGATAATGACAAATAATTTAGTTAAATAAAGATTATAATTTTAATGATTACATTTTTATGTAGATAAATATTAAATAAATTATATAATGTACAAAAGTGCATAAATTTATTGTACAATTTTAGATATTCTAGTCTATATAAAAGGTAGTAAATATATAGTATTATATAAATAGATAAATTGCAATTTTGCAAATGATGATATAATATATTAAAGTATATGCGATAACAACAATAATAGATAAAGCATTTAATGTAATCTTAAAGATATATAGAGTTTATGTAATCAAATTGAGTGACAAATCGGATGAAAACCCAATTTACTATAAAAGCTGTAATCCGCTAATGGTTTACAATGACATACAATGGCATTCAATTGCATTTACAATTGACATACAATATGTTATACTTTTTATGAAAAGTCTTTAATATACTAATATAATGACTGTTATTGTGGTCTCATATCGTAATCCATTATCATTATATATTTAGTATATATATATATATATATATACCTGTCTATTGTGTGAAAGGCTATAACCAGAATTAGCTCATTTTAAGCAAAAAATTAATCATACAATACATGAAATTCATGAACTTATATATGAATTAATATACTGTATATACTGTACTAAATTTATACACTATAAGTACAATATATTGAATACTACAATATAATATAGAGTATATTATGTAGTGTTTTGCTGCTAACAAATGTGATCGCAACCGGTCATAGAGTGGGTGACGCGTGTCATACACTATAATAGTTGTTATATATTACTAACAATATTTGAGTATAACTTATGATAATATCAATAATAAATAAAACATAAGTTACACTTCAAATGCATTACCAAAGCATGTGTCAAAACAGATCTGATCTCAATTGCAATTAATTTTGCTTCAAATACATTGAATAACAAGTATTTGAATTAAAGATTTGCTAAAATATAGATTTATTTTATGAATTGAATGCCTTTTAATTTTTATAAATATTAAGAGTAAATTACATCAAATTAATGAATGCATTTCGTGTCGATTTCAAACAAACATATATACTATATATTATATAGTATGTCATACCTTATTATGCATTGAGAAAAATATTTATCTTTATATAAGCATTAAACTTATTTTATGGTATATAATATACTAAACACATTAGATATAATTTAACATATAACTTAAATTATAAACTAAATAATATATTTTGCACTGTATATACATTAGTTATTCATGATATGATGTGATGCATAATGTTGTGACACATAGTATCTTAAATAATATAAATATGATTTGAACTGCCAGATTGCTATTAACACACCATAATTAATCACATTATGGATACATAAATTGGTATTTATTTTATCATAATTTTATGCTTTATATAAATGTAATGTGATTTTACATTTTAAAATTTTTTCTATATTTTTGTTTATTTGATTGTATGTCTCATTCATATTCACCTAACGTGAGACTCTATTAAGAATTTCCTTATCATTTATTAATATATTTAATAAAATATTTAAAATAAAAAATAAAATTGTAAATGATGTGATAATTATAAGAAATATCATAATTTATATGTGATAATACATTAATACATTAAATATATTGATATAATATGAGATAGCATTTAAATACAATATATCATTTACTATTGATCATTAAGTCAATTACTTATTTAGTATGTGTTAAGTACAGTATTAATATTTTATTAAAAGAGAAAATGATTTATTAATATACATTAATTTATATTTAGATTTAAAATTTATATTTATATAATATACACAATTTACTATATATATTGACTATAAGATTAATTTATATACTATTCATATATTATTCAAACAACTAATATACAGTTAAAAGAAAGCATACAAATAGAAACAGCGGTCAATCATTTCATTCAATACTGCAATTAGTAGTGCATTATATGTACAAAAAACTCAATAAAATGACATTTTAGAGTCTCTTTACAATTAATTGTCAGAAGTGCTCATTATATGTATGTCTCGTTGATTACAGATTGCCTTTAAATAGATCATAGGATAGGGATATATCAGTGAAGTGGATGTTAGTCTCTCTCTCTCTCTCTCTCTCTCTCTCTCTCTCTCTCTCTCTCTCTCTCTCTCTCTCTCTCTCTCTCTCTGTCTGTCTGTCTCTTATGTGAAGTTAGTCCGAGTGTTGATTTTCGTGCATATCGTAAATGTCTGGTTTAAACTTCAATCATCACAAGTGATTGTATGTGCCATTCATGTCAACGCCATTTGACAAACAAATGTAAAGCAAATGTTGAATAGTAATCAATATGAAAGATATCGACTGAACTCTTAATATTTGATTTCAAATTTTCACAAATTTTGCTTTTGCTTTATATATTTATACAGTATATATAAATATATAGTATATAATTTATATACTGATAACTATTAAAACTATATTTTACATTAAGTTTACATACTGTAATTTACTATAAATTAAACCAATATAATTGATATAATTTATTGTGAACATCCAAATATCCAGGGAGAGTATATTAAAGGATAAATAGATGGCTTTAGAAAATTGATGTCTTCTGAGCCATACATAAGCTGATTGTCTTTCATCAACACTTTGACGGCTACTTTCCTGCCACTCGACGATGAATTAAGTGTTGGACTCATAGATGATGTGTTTGACAACATTTGTAGACCAGCACTGCCCGCCTGAATCATTAACTCGTGTTGCAATTGCTTGCGTTTGGTTTTATAGCGTCTATTTTGAAACCTTTAATAATATATTTTTAATTTAATTATTTGGTAAACAAACAGTAGAAATTCATATGTTTAACGATTTAATATTACATAACATTATATAACAATAACTCACCAAATCTTGACTTGTGTTTCAGTCAATTTGAGGGCTTAATAAATCAGACAAAATGTTATTATAAAAGTTTTGTTACATAAATATATTAAATATGATAATAATAATAATGAATACCTTGAGCTAAATCGGCTCTCTCTGGTCCGCTGAGGTATCTTTGATGAGTGAATCGTCTTTCAAGTTCATAGACCTGTGAGTGTGAAAAGGCAGCGCGCGATCGCTTTTTCCTCGGCTTAGTTATAGCTGAAGAACTCATATTATGATTACTATTAGTGGCCGAACACGAGTTGTTTGCATTGCATGCACTGCTTATCGATGATAACGATTTGCTCTCAATATCTATTTTGTATATAAGTTATAACAATTTGTTTAATACATTCTAACATTTATTAATAATAACAATAATATATTTAAAAAACAGTTTCTATTATTATCTAAAATTTAAGTAATTGCTTACTTTGAAGACCATCTGTAATGAGTGTATGGTTTGGTGTCGAAGCAAACCATTGGTAATGATTTCCTGTTAAATGGTTTAATGCTGTTTCGTAGGGACTCATTGATGATATACGATGTGATGAAAGATTGTATTTAGTGTTCATCTTTGGTGACAACGATGATGGAGACGATGGGTATGTTATGGACGGCGATTTGACAGCACTTTCAGTTGTCACACATTCAGACATCTCGTGATCGACCGATTCAGATGTCGATCCGCTTTCATTGTGTTTATTAGAGTCATTATTAACTGCCAATAAGCGACTGATACTGAATGACAATTTCGATGATTTGTTTGAATTGACGGAACCGTTTGGATGCATAATAGATGAAGAAAGGAACTGTCGTTTTGGTGATTGTGACACTTCTTCTTCAACTTCATTTGAATCAATATTAGTAGTAATTAAATGAGACATTGAAAATTGCAAATTGCAATATATTTTTATTAAAATTTATTTAGTTCTTAAAAACTAATTGTTATATAATATATATCATAAATTAAAAATATTAATGTATTTTAAGCAATTTTTTAATTTATTGAATTTTTTAAAAGTTAGCACTGATATGACAAACCACTTCTTTGAATAAATAAGACTCGAAGTAAAAATTTGTTTGTAAAGTGTGGACCCAAACCCCAAACCTTTAGTTTACCGCTTTATGGACAACCTTTTGGGTGAGGCCTAACTGAGACTGACAGTCCTTGGAGTCATTGAAGAGCATTACTTGTTTACACAATCACTGATATCTACTTCAGCGACAATTGGCTGAACACTTATATCAATAATTGTGTTACACCTCCTCTTTAACTTTAATGATGAACTAAATTAATTGATACATTCAAATGTGAGTAATTAGTTTTAATTGTTTTATAGTGTCAATTACTTATATAACTTTTTAAAATATTATTCAAGTTTAAACATTTATATAAAACTATAAAAATATAAAATATCATTGAATACAATATTTGCAAAATAATTATTACTTAGAAAATTTAATTTAAATAACAATGTAATATTTTTTCAATACATTTAAATTTTACAAATTACGATATTTTTTACTAATATACTTTTAATAATTATTATCTAATAATATTAGTTAGATATTATTATTTCTATTAATTTAAATAATAGTGGAAATGTTATAATTTATATAAATAACATAAAATAGTGTCTGTAAACTTATAACTGTAAATAACAACTACAATATACTAAATAACTAGTAATAATATTCAATATATTTTTATTAACTTTTACTTGTAATATATTATACTACTCTAAATTTTGGATTAGTTTTAAATTCAAAAATAAAAAATAAACTTAAGTTAAACTTTTATTTTTTTAAAAAGTATTTAAATAATATTTTATATTCAATAGTTGGCTATAATATAACATAGCAAACTATATAATATACTATATTCATGAATTTCAATATAGTCATTTAATATTATCAATTTTATTTTATATTAATATATTATATTTATAGTCCTATTTTTATAAATCATAACAACGTTACTAACTTATAAATAATCTATTAATATATTAATTTAAGAATTATTTAAAATGCATATTTAAAATCACAAGTTTATTTAAAAATATTATTAGCAATGTATAAATATTACATAGATTACAATATTTTATATTTAAAAAAATAATAAATAATTTTATTAAATAATATTAAGATTTATATTATAGATAATAAAAAATAAAAAATATTTTATTAATATTATTTAAAAATTTTGTTTTGTGAAATCAATATTTTATTTAACACGAAAAGTATTTTTAATAAAAACCAGTATTATCTTTAATAGTCTGAGTAAATATTAAATATATCAAAAATATAGTCAAATGTCAGAGTTTGAGGCCAAAAACAAAGTGCAATTAAGATGCCATGAGATGATAGTTATGTAAATTTTGCAATTAATGCCATTAATATGAATTATGTTATGTTTTTGACGCTTATTGGCGACAATTGAGACAACAAGGCTTAAAGCAATATATTTAATGGCACTTATAGTTTGTCAGTAGTCTTGCAAACAGTTGTTATTTCTTCACAATTTTCTACAATTTTAAACTTTGTTTTGTTTTCTCTCAAGTTTTCAAAAATTTATTACTTTAAGTTATAAGTTATGATTTAATGATTATCAGTGAATGTCTGCAATATTTATATATCAGTAATATATGGGAAACCAGTTTCACGGTTTTGACCACAACATACACCTAACTTTCAAACTTTTCTCAGATATGATATATGTCTACATTATATGTATTTTCTTATAACTTTATCTCATAATATTCATGAATTATTACAATATATAGCACTACTATTTGTCATATATATAGTATGTACTGTATAATATTATTAAACTTGTATAGTATTAAAGTGAATTTTAAGCATAAATAGTTATAATTACTATCATAGCCACTACTACTACTACTACTACTACTACTACTACTATTACTACTACTACTTAGCTATAGAAAAAAACTTAAGAAATTCAGTTCTTATCTGATAATGAATTAAATGCTTAAAATGAAGTGAAAAACGAGACCTTTTCACGACTCACTTAATTAAACTGATTTTTATTTATGTTTGTTGTTGTTGTTGTTGTTGTTGTTGTTGTTGTTGTTGAAAGCACCTTCAAATATTTTTAGTTATTAATTTTTAGATTAAAATATTTGATATTTAAAATTAGTGTAATTTATTATCAATAAAAGATACTGTATATATATATAATGTAAATATAAATAAAAACAGATAATAAATATTTTTTAACAAATTTATTTTTATATTAATTAATTATTTAGATTAAAATAATTTGGAATTTAATTAAATTATAAGTTAATAAAAGGTTTATTTAGTTTTATCAGTGATAATAGTGGTGACAGTAGTTTTGTTGCCTAAACAGTAAGACTGTATGACTGTATGTATTAATATATGTTTAGAGCGGCAATGAGTGGCTAACGAAGTGAATAAAGCGATTGAAAGGTCTGTTATTTGTGTTATTAAAAGCCATTAGTGAATGCATTACAAGCTTTAGTTGTGTTCCTCTTTTAACTGCTTATTCTCTGACATCACATCTATTGGTTCCGTTATGTGTGGTCTCTGTCGCCACTGTTTTTCAGTGTTGGCATCAAATTGCCTCAAACATCACCACCAGTACTCATCACTTGACTGTCCTCTCGTATGACATTTAAATCTTAGTTCAAACTCTAAGATATATGAGAGACCACTTTATTGTAGTTATTATAACAACAACTCACAACAAATAATCAAATGCATTGAAATGCTATTGCAATTCAATATTATACTCCAATAATGCATTTAATGCATTATTATATGATTGCAATATTATTAAAATATTTATTCATTTCAATTATAATGCAATTGAAATACTTTGCAAATAAATAATTGACGTTTAATAAGACTTTTTGTGTGATAAATACCAGAAATTTTAGGTCAAAGTGTCCGCTAATTGTATGACATGAGGTCTGAGAGCTGTTTGAAAGCTATTAATCGTGTAATGTTTGTAACGATAGTCTTATTTATATAAAGCAAATGTTTCTCTTATTTTAACTTTCATTGCATTGCAATTAGTCGTTGTTTTCAAGATTCAATCAATTGGTGTTTATATATGTATTGAACTCAACATACAGTCATCTGTACTTATAATGGGTGACCTATCTGTGTAGTCAAGATCTGGTGTGGTATGGTATACAGTATATGCATCTAAAATATTACATTTTCAGAGAGAGAGAGAGAGAGAGAGAGAGAGAGAGAGAGAGAGAGAGCAAATGGTGGTAAACATTTAAGGATATTCACATTAGTTGACAAAAGTCAACATTTTTATTACACTAATTTACAAATGCTTTTGCAGTCCATTTGAGAGCACAAACACTCAGTTATCGCTTATATTTACAAAAATATTTTAAGAATTTGTCTTAACTTTAAAAGTGAGAGATTTTTTGTATATCTATATGTTTGTCATCAATAAATGCTACTACTTTAGTGTTAATACTAATAAAATAGTTATAAGGTCTCAATGATATGTTAAACATTGTACAATAATTATGATATAATAATTTAAAGTTTACACATTGTTTATTTAATTTAAAATTAAATTATTTACTATAATGCTACATTATTAAATTTACTATTGTATTTAATATAAAATTAGTTAGATTAGGTCCCAAAACTATAAATATAAGTTGAAAATAACATTATTTAGAAAACTATTTAAGCAGTTGTTATCAATTAAATGATTGGCTTATAATGTTTACAATTTTTAATTGAATTATTTGTTAAAAAGTGCACTCATTTTTTGTTTATCAAAGCATCGCTAGGTTTCGGCAAACGTTTTGTTTGAAATAAGAAGCTTTTAATTTTGTACTTAAATATCGGCTCAAAACCCATCATTGGCTTACAAAAAATAACAGAAAAAAGAGAGACAAGAGAAATAGAGAGAGAGAGAGAGAGAGAGAGAGAGAGAGAGAGAGAGAGAGAGAGAGAGAGAGAGAGAGAGAGAGAGAGAGTTTAAAATAAATGCGCTTTCATTTAGAGAAAATAAAGTTTAAGAAAAAAAAGTTTTGAATTGCAATTAAAGAGCAAAAGAAATGTGTTGTTTTGCTGACAGATTTGTTAGCAATAAAAGCGTTTTCTTACAATTTTATTCATCATTATATTACATCAATTTTTAATTTATCCAAAATAACTTTTAGTATATAATTACACAAAATTAATTACAATTCATAATTGCATATTATTAACTAAATAAATATTTTTACCTTTTTTATAATATTACTTTATTTTATAAATATAAATATATATATAATATATAAATAATTGAGAATTTGTGAGATTAATGACAAAATCGGGTACTCTTGAAGTACTGGATATATGGCATCAAAATGTGCCGATTGTTTAAAGGTATAGAAGTGATGGTGAGATCAAAACAACCGAAATTGTAAACAATTAAAGATGCGGTACATCTCTGAACATCTCTGAGTCGCTCTCTATAGTAGGCAATGATTGTCTCAATGCTATGGTTGGCATTGTATACTATATAGTACTGTATATACAGTATATGTGATTACATGAGATGTGGGATGTATTCACACATTTGTCGTGAATATAAAGCTTTTACTTAATGTAAAGCAAAAAGTAGTGCTCTTTATATTGCAAAGTGTTTTACCATTGCTTTTCATTGCCTTTTAGTTTTAAGACATCATTTTATTGCTTCTCATTAGTTAACATCATATCAATGATAGACAAATAATTGTTGCAAATAATGGCACAAAATATATGGTAAAACAGAGACCGCCTTTGATGTGTATATGACTGCAGACTTACGTCACATCCAAAAGTAGCGATACTCCAGAAGACAGTCTCTCATAAATAGCAATCATTGAGACCTATGTTTGTATGAAATCATTTCAAATATGCAATTAATGCAAACATTGTAAACACAAACAACAACTTTAATAGTTGTCGTTACTATTGATTATATGTTTCTTTACTAACAATACTAACACAATATGATTAAGCATTGAATCTCTTTGAGAGTCACATTTGGGTCGCGTTTCGCTCTCTAATCACCAATAATACCAATGCCTTACTATATATACAATATATATATATATTTATATATTATCTCTTTTTGTAATATTTACCAATCGTTAATAATTGCGACCATTGAGTGGCGCCGGTATTCAGTCAATGAGTTAACAGTGGTTTAGTCCAATAATACCAGTGCCGTACAAATCAATTGACACAACAATTGCTACAATCAATCAATTAATTACATCCGTTTGTAAACACACTGTATGTCCATTCATTCATTGACTTATTGTTACTCAAAATAGTATTAAGTTTTATTTATTTAGTCTTTTGTATGCATTTATATTAATAGATTTGTTTAATTCAAGTGATCATCTGTTTAATTAAACACAATTATTGTCTAAATTAGATTTACAATCAATAATATACATATCCTATAATAATTATTTTATTTATAATAAATATGTTATTAATAAACACTATTTTTACATAATAATCTGAAAGCATAACATTTTTGAAATCAAATCGATAATTTAGTTTTTAAATTACTTTAGTTTTGATTTAAATAAAGTTAAAAACATCTAAAATATTGATTTATAAAATTTAAGAATTATTAAAATATTAAATATTAAAAGTATAATATTATATTTACATGAGTGCTATATAATACAATATACTGTAATATATTTTTTTATTTAAAAAATTCATAATATCTATATATAATAACTTTTAAAAGTATATAATTTTGACAAACAGTAAATTGTAAAAGTAATTAAATATAATATTTAAAATAAGTCACTATAACAACAAAAACCTAAATAATTTATGAGAAAGTATTTTTATTTAAATTTTTATTTAGATATTTATTAAGCAATATCTTAAGTATTAAAATAAATAAAATTATTTTATATTCTTGTATTATTACAGATAGAATTAATAAAATTAATATAAAATTGTTATACAAAGTAATAAATTTTAATTATATCAATATAATATAATAATATAAAAAGGTTTAAAAATAGTTAACCTTATCATAAATTAAGAAAACTTTATTATAGATAAAAATACTATATTTTAGACATAGGCATACATTACATAACTTATAATACACTAATTATATCAGTATCTATATAATTAAAATCACTAAAATAAAAAAAAATAATTTCAATTTTTAATATTTTACAATTTGATATTAGAAAATAATATAATTTTTATTTGAATCTGTTAATATAATTTCTTTATTATTAATTTTGTAAATATTTTGTTAAATATTACTAAAAAAATAAAACAATATAAAAAAGCAAGTGTCGAAATATTATATAGTTTTTATATTATAGTACTTATAATCAATAATTGAGATAATACTGTTTGTACTGTAAATTATAATAGATTTTAATACAGTAGTACACTATTCTATACAGTTTTTTGAATTTATAAATATTTTTGTCATTTTTAGTGCACATTCAATGCATTTTTGGCCATCTATTGGAATATTTATTAATTTTTAAAGTATAGATTACACTTAGTTTTTTAAACTTATTTAATAATAGTGTAACAAAAGTGTAAATATAAAAATTTAATTTCTTTAAATTTTTTCGAATTTATTATATTAATTAAAAAATATATACAATTGTATAACATTTGTACAGTATAACAAATATACAAATTAAATTTACAATATTTTTAATTATTAATAAATATTTATATAAAATATTTATTTAACATAATTTACTAGCGTACATAATTATAAATAATAAAATTTTAATCTAATTAATAAAAGTTACATAATAATAATAATTGTACTGGAATTCTAATAAAAATAAATATTTTAAAAACTTGACTGAACTTAGATTTTAATATTATATTAAAATTGGTTAAAAATTGTTTAATTATAAAAATTTATTGTATGTTATTTAAATATAACCAATTAACTAACATAATCAATCAGCAATAACATAAACATATTTATATTTTATTTACTTATTTATTTTTAAAATTTATTAAATAATTATAAAATTATTTATTTTAATGTAGAAATATTTATAAATAATCTAAATGATAAAAAAATTAATTGTATTAATATTATAACTAAAATAATCTAAATATCACATTATTATTATTAGGCTTTATTTGGTTTTAAATTACATTAAGTCACTCTTTTATTAAAAATTTTAATTATTTATTGTTATTTCTTTACGAAAAGTTTTGAATAATTTGAATATATTTTTTTAGTTTAATAAATATTTATACATTTGAATAAAATTATTTATATATATATAAATACAAATTATTGATTTTAAAAATTTATTTAATAACTAATAGACTTCTAGAATATTAGAATAACTAGTTCTAAAAACTAATAGAATATATAAAGTTTTAATTATAAAATTAAGTAAATATTTACATTATATTTAAATTTTACTATTATTTGTTTACAAGTTATTAATATAAAGATCGATGATACAAATATCGACATATATTATATAAAATTTAATTATTTATTTCTAAGAATAAATCATTTTTTGTATTTTTAAAATAAACTTTTTATAATACGATTAATTTTTGTAATAATGCAATCGTTGAATAAGTAAATTTACTTATTAATGATATATTATAATTATTATTTAATTGCTGCTAAAAGTTATAATTAATTCATATAAAAATAATTTAAAGTGATTAATAAATATAAAATTTGAAAAATAAATAGTTTGAAAACTTAAATATATTATATAAACAAATATAACGTTAGATTTGGTAAAATGTCTGCAAAGCTGTTATATAACATATAAAAGACATTGAAAACAGTGTATTGTTTGCCACCACTTATTGTTTACATAAACTTCAAACTCTTAAAGACTTTACTTTAAAAATGCATCACTGGTTCAGGTGTTGCAACTGTTGAGTCCCAAAATAGTATGGATTTTTGAGTAAACAAAATGATGTTTTCATTATCTACTGATATAGTGTACAGTGTATGGTGTGTGGCATGTATTAAGACTGTGATGTCTGTCCAAAAGAGGAAAGTCATAACATATAAGCTGTCATTACTAGTCATTAATTAAAAGCTAACGTAACACAGATCCCAACTACCTTTGTTGAAGAAATAGGGCTCTCAGTAGGAGTTCCTCTGTTTATATAAGACACAGATCTCATAGAAAGCTTGGAGCCAACCATTCATGTTATATATCTCTCACTCTTTAGGTCCCAAAATATCAATTATTTTGAACCACATTATTATTGTTGATTTAAAATTTGCTTTAAATTTAATTTTGCTTATTTTTATTTTACACAAAATTTTAACAAAACATTTATTTAATAAACATAAAATCACTTTTGATTATCGACTGTTTTCATTGTAATTCTTATAATAATAATAAATATTATAAAACTTTATTATTGCATAGAATTTCACATATTTATCATAAACATAATTGTAATAATACAGTATTAGTATTTATGTTAAATTATTACATATAAATGTCACAATTATTATAATCATGCATTACATTATTTTGTCCATAAGTATTGATATTATTGATATGAGGATAATGTGAACATTGAATGTTAGACTTATTGGTTGTGCGACCATCTCTTACAAGAACCGGAACAGACATACGTCGGGGGAATTGGTTTAATGGTAAGGATTCGACTTTACTTCTTATGTGACCAATAGGTATGACGTGTTGGTTGGACTCCCTGTCCATTCTCTGACGTTTACATTTGTACCGACGATTCTGAAACCTATTATATTTTTATTTTTAAAAATCATTTAATAAATATACATTATATAGATTATTACCAAATTTTAATTTGAGTTGAAGTTAGCTTTAAAATCATAGCCAATTCCTCCCTTTCAGAAGCTATTAATTATCAAATTAAAGAAAATTATCTATACTTGTAATTCACTCAATAATTTGTTATATTTTAGACGATCACCTGAAAGATATCTTTGTTGTTTAAATCTTCGCTCCAATTCATGGACCTGAACCTAATATAATTAATTGCATATTTGTTACTTTTATAAGTTTAATTATAGTATATTAATGTTATATTTAATCAACAAATATCAAAGTCAATAAATATGTAAATATATTAATACATGTAATTATGATTACCTGAGAGAATAAGATCCGAGGTTTACGTCTACTTCGAGGTTTCGCACATTGACTTGAAGATTGATTTTCAATAAATTTGTCAATATTTTCATGTTTTTTAAAATCTTTAGTTTCTTGTGGTGCTTCATCTTAAATATTAATTCAATATATTATATCTATTTAAAAGTTAAATAAACCAAACCATACCTGAAATTAAATTGGCTTTTATTGTATACTTTAGTATTTGTGAATCATTTTTAGCTGTCATTGTATTTAAATTGCAATCAGTTTTGATATGAGTGTTGTCGTGATTATTAAAACCCATTTCCAGTGAATTACTGTTTGAATATTTGGATAATTCATTTAATTGATTTTTAGGAGTCATTTCATTTCTATTTGTTATGTTTTGATGACAAACTGGTAGACAAAAATTAGAAAGATTTTGAATGCGTGGAGACATTATAGACGACATATTGAACTGACTAATAGCTGGAGTGGCTGGTGATGACCAGTACTGCATTTCAGACTCATTTGTATTACTATTAATTGCATTTGAAGTGCTATTTGTGTTGATTTGCATTTCGTTAAATTGGGTTTGACTTTCGTTAATGTGTTGAGTATAGAAAGTGCTGTATTCATCACAATAATTGTATGGATGGCTGTGAAGTGCAAGCAGATTGAATGCCTCACCATTTTGTTCATAACAAGTGCTTTTAGGAACCGATAGCTCATTAGATTCCGGGTTAAAGCCGGTGCTATAAAAAGCATTAATTATTGTATCGGTGTTCCCGTCTCTTGCTTCGTATGGCATCAATTGACCGCCATTTTGATAGTAATTAAATGGATTGGAGTAGTATTGACTCATTTGTACCACAATTATCCTTAAGTGGACCACAAGTTTAGATCATAACTAATGTCCTCTTTAGTCACTTCTTGCACTTCACTTCAAAAACATATTTCTCTCACATTTCAGATCATCTAAAATATTATATTTTCTTTTAGTATGACTTCTTCTTCTTTTACAAAAACAATCATTTAGTGCTTAAATAGCTTTCAAAAACTTTAAGTGCAAAAACTTTTAGGGAAAAAACTTTTATTAATCAAACAATTGAGTAAATTGAAAGTTTTATATGAATTGATGGTTAAAGAAGTGGTATTGTTTTGTGTAAATTCAGTGATTGATTTCATGATATATAACATCCCATTCCTCTCACTCCTCCTACAAAACACTCTTATTTGACAATTGAGTTGTGGTTCACATAAAATTCATACAATTTATTCAATGATTATAAAACAAATTTAGTTTATTTGACACATAGACTGATATGTAAGCAATTTATTATTAAATATATTATATACTAAAATATTACAGAATATTAGAAACTATTACACTTACATATTGAAGCAAATTTAAAGACAAGTGTTTGGCTTCAGATATTAAGTTATTATAATGACTGACTAATAATTAATTGTCATTTATAATGGTTTGTCTAACAAAATGCATCGATGATTGTTGTTTGAAATGAAATGCGAGGCGACTAACCATTGATGGGTCCAACTATTATATCGTGGGTTGTCTTTCACACACATATACATAGAGTGTATGTTTTGTTAACTTTGATGGGATTTTGGGTCATATGTTTAGTATATGTGAGGTATGAAAAATGAGTTACTTAAGTAAAATAATATATACTATTACACTAATAATGATTTGTATTATACAATGCTTTCCTCTAAACGCCTATCATTTTCACCAACTATTGACTGCCTATCTCTTGATATATATACTTATTTTAACATTTAACTAATGTATGTAATACTATGTATACGAGTACTATCAGTATATGCATTACATCTCAAAGATAAACATTTGCTCACAATATCTCATCTCATATTATATACAAATTTAAACAATTCATTCATTTCTCTATATATTCAATATATACTCTACAGTACCGTATATAAGCTCTGTATATTATAGTAGTATTTGTAAGCAAACTTTGTTGTAAAATATAGATTCAGTAATGTTTTAAATAATAAATTATTGTAATTTTATAAAACAATTATATATTACTAAATAGCTACTATAACTACTATAAAATATATAATAATAGTTATATTTAAAATATATTTTTGCTATCATAAAATCAATTAAATTAATAAAACTATTACTGAAATGTAATATAATTACTTAAGTGTTAACTTTAATTGCGGCTGCATTTATAAATGTTAAATACTTTATATTAATATTAATACAATTCATTAATTTTTTATAAATAAAAATTATATAAATTTACTTTTATAAATATTTATCAACATATATATATATTGACAATTAATTATAAATAAATAATATTAAATGAACAAAAAATAAAACTGCATATTTTCTAAAATTAGTGATTAACTCTAATAATTAATTTTAGGTAAATGTAGTACTGAAATTAAATTTGGGCAAAATTTTTGTAGTGATCTAGGTTAAATGTTTTTTATTAGTAAAATATGCAGTAATTAATTTTAATACTGAATTTTACGTCTAGAATTAATAAATGTTAGATTCTAATAAAATTTATAAAAGATAAGTGATTAAACTAATTTTAATAATTTCAATGTCAGTTAATTTATTTATTATTATTTTATTTATTTTTATTTTCATTATAAAAATGTATTTTGTTTGCTTATAGTTAGCAATATTGATCAAAATTATTTCAATTCTGGTTAATATATTGATATAAATTGAAATAATATATATATATATTATATGATATTAGTGTATAATTTATATATTTTAAAAATAGCATTTTAGAGTTTCACATTTGGCTAAATTTAATTCATTTTACAAAATTTTAATAAAATCATCACTAGGTTTATATGACTTAAATTTGAATTTTTTTATCAATAAAATATTTGTTTTTAAATTGAATTGAAAAATACGTGACAAAGCATTGTTGTGTTTTGTCGGCATTTAGTAAGAAACCAATTGTATTGCAATTGAATTCATTGATTACAATCAACACATGTTTGATAGCACTTTGCTATACAAACAATCATTTTTGACGACAAGTCCTTTCAATATTGAAATAATTTCATTGTTTTTAATATATTTAGTCTAAATGTTTAGCTAATAGTTTCAACTTTTCGTTGATTTTAATAAAATTTTTATAAAATTATTAATAATTACTAATCTAAATATGCTATTTGTAGTATTTATAATAAATAAATAATATATGATTAAATTTTTGATTAAATAATTTAATTTTATCTTTAGTATAATTAATTGATATATTAATATCTTTAATCGCTGAAAATATGATTATATTGATATTTTTACATTTTAGACATATTAATTAATAATTAAAATATTAAGAAAATTATTATTTTCTTTTATTTTTAATCAAAAAAAGCGATTGTAATTACTTTATAAGAGATATGTAATACATATTAGAGAAAATTATTAATAATATTATACTTAATTAATACTTATAATTATTAATAATAAATTATAAAAATCATAAACTATAGATTACATCAGGGATTTTATAGACTTTTTAATGAAATAGAGTTTAAAGATATTGTGTTAATAATAAAACTTAAGATTGTATTAAATGCCAAACTGTATAAAACAATGACTTTAAATGCAGTGATGATTGCAATGCTATAAAAATGAGATTCAATTTAATGCTAAAAACTTTTGTCATTATATTCAAGTCATTCATCAATTAATAGTAAGTTCATTGAACTTCAAAACTCAATCAAATGGTTTTTATTTGAAAATATAAGTGATTTGATTGTTAGCTGTGATAATGTCTATTAATACTTATGAAATAAATCAAGAGGTAATCCAATCTATTAAAACTATAATCAATGCAATGGTTGCGCCCAAAGTTGGTATCCAGTCTTTAACTGATCTCAAAGATGGTAAATATTTGTGTCTTTTGGTCATCAAAAATGAATTGAATCGACTCTTTGTTAACACCTATGAAGAGACTTATCATCTAAAGGTGTCTATCGATGATATAGACATTGATGTGATTAATCAACAAATACCACACAAAATGTATTCATTAATTGATAATTTCGTGAGAAAATACTTTGGATTTTATTATATTATATCAAATGACTTCAAGAGTGGACATCACCAACAAATCAAAGACATTACAATTCTTGTATTATCAGTATTATATGAATCGGACAGTTGTCTCATTAAACCATTTGTGTCACAACTCAAGTCTCAATTTTTAATAGTTATCAATGAAACCGCATGTTTAGTGTCGACAATAAAACAAAAGTTTGATCCCATGTTTTGTCTGATTCTTGAATCTAATACTATTTTAGACAACTTTTTCAGTAAATGTTTTAATAATGTAAATCAAAAGCTAACAAAAATACAGAGAATCAATGAAATCCAACGATTACTTAAACTTTTTCAATCAATTCAAGAAATTGGTTTAAAGAAAATATTATTAAATACTTCACAAATTGATAGCCATTTATATACAACTATAAAACTAATTATTTATTATTGTAAGGCTTACTCTTTGAATCAAACATTAAAACAAACACTTGAATTAAATTAATATAACATTTATCATTTACTGTAATATTATTAAATAAATATCAAAATGAGAATACATTCAATTAAAATTAAAAAAATTATATTTAAAAATATTAATCTCTTTTAGATTCAATAAATCTCTTAACAAAAAGTATCGTTTATCACATTTGTTTCATAAAACTTTACATTAAAATTCGTTTAAACGTTTCATTGGATGTAATTATTACTTTGAGTTAATGTCCAAAATGTATTGCTTTAGTCTAAGTGCCGACAAAAGTGGATAAATTAAGAGAATGGCTCCAAAACAGTAGCAAACAGTTGCACCAAATCTCCAGAAAACTATTTGTAAGTAATTTACGGTAAAATAAATGATTAATATTTGTTACTTTAATGGTACTTAAACAGACCTAATGAAGCAGATATTGGTCCCAAAGCTCTGGCCAGTGCTCCGATTGATCGAAATATTCCGAGTGTAACACCTTTTTGGTCCTGAGGACCATATGATGAAACAATTGTTGTCAAACATGGAACCACTGTAGCCGATGAAAATGCATATAATGTTAATCCAATATATAATTGTATTTCATTGTTTGCCAAACCAATCAATAGAAACGATGGAATTATCATTAAAATGCCCTTTAAATTGGTATACAATTTATTATTCTTTGATTCCAATTAAAGTTATTTAAAATCCAAAACATACCGTTAAAACAGTTTTTAATTCATTTCCAACTTTAATACGTCTAACATATGATCCCTGTATTAAAGTCATCAAAAGACCGGTATATAAGTAAAGTCTTCCCTGTTCTGCACTAAAATTATCAAATTATAAAACAATAAAACATTACAATAATAAAAATTAATGCAAACCTCGAGTAATTGAATCTCAAATGAGTGAGGAATGTCAGCGTAAACTCGAGTCCAGAATATAAGTATAGGTATAAAAAGTAAAGACGACCTCCACTTTTCAAGACATTTAAATCTATATTATTATAAAATATTTTTATTAAATTAATTATTTGATAAAATATTATATTACTGTAATTTATTTTATTTTATATAAATTATAACCTTTTTCTGTAACATTATTGACGGGACGAAAGGAGAATAATGATATTGGGCTCATGTAGTCAATGGCTTGCTTTAAACCCGACTCTAGCGAACGTGCCTTTAATTTTATAATAAAACAAATATATAAAAATGTTGATTAAATTTATGCAATTTATTACCCTTTTATTTAAGGAAAGGGATTCTTCAAAATAATACCAAATAAAGACAATATTAAGAAGAGAAAGGATTAATGCAAAGACCGCCGGATATAACTGAAAGAAGTAGTCTGGAGATGAACTTCGAGACCAAATAACAAAAGTTGCGCCTAAAACGGGTCCAATCTATTGGTATTTTAAAAATATAATTTAAATAAAAGTTAATTCAATACAATTATATTTAAGAGTACAATAAATCCAATGGAGAAGGAAATCCCAATTAATGCCATTCCTTTACCGCGATTTGACTCATCCGACACATCCGTTACTACGGCTGTACTCAGACTTATGTTTCCTTTGCTGAGACCACCGATGGTTCGGGAAATTAGAAATATTGTAAACATTTGTGAAGAAAGACTCCAACAGAAGTAAGATAAAGAGATTCCCGACAAACATATAAGTAATAGTGGTTTTCGACCGTAAATGTCGGACAACGACCCGACCAATGGTTGAGATATGTATTGAAGTAATGAAAACCACGAACCGATGAGACCACCGAAAAGTACTTCAAATATCAAACATTTCAATCAAATGATCAATTAATTGCTATTTTAGTTGCAAACCTTTGTTGAACTCTTGAGGACTTCCTATCCATTCTTGACTTAACTTGACTTTGCCATTAAACCACTCAAAGAGACCACTCTTGAGATAACAAATAATTAAATTTAAAAAATCATTAATTGGTGGACACTATACCTGATCGTTGATACTGTAATAGTCAACAATGGATGGCATTAACGGCAAAATCACAGTAAAGGCCAACAAATCCAATATAAGTGATGTCGTGATCACCACAAGTGATTTAGTCTTCATAGATGTCATCATCGGATCAATTAAACAATACTAATGTCAACCAATTGTTTGAATTACTTTTAAACATATTTTCAAATTCATCTCAATTTAAGTGAAAAACTTTTGTACACATCATTAGAGTCATTAGAGTGACAAATAATAAAGTAATACCTGTATTGACTGTTATTATAACTTATATACCATTAAATACAAGTAATTGTTTAAAATAATAACATTAATACACACACAGTATTACATTATTTATTATTATATAAACATATATCTGATTACTAAAGTAATTGTGTTATTAACTTAATTATTATAGTCATAACAATACATGATTAGACATAACCTAATGGATCACTCTATTTGTAAATTGCATACACGTGTCAATCATATGTTGTAACAAATATTACGTCCAAACAGTTGTTAAAACTATTTGACATTAGATTCTGAAATACATTTTAAATGATTTATAATATAATTTATATAAATAAAGTTGAGATTCAATTGATCTATAAGTTTACTTAAATGATTCAAATATATTCAAATAAGTATTAATAGATAACAACCAAAATATAACAAATACTTATTTATGCAAATCAACTATAAGTACATACAGTATATATTTGTAAAGATTATTTAAATTCATATACAGTACAGTAGATTAAATTTATACTATACTTTGTTATAAAATATTTTCAATTTTAACTTTAAAAAGTTCATAAGTTATATCTTTATTATTATTTTTTTTTGTAAAATAAGTTGTTAAATTACATTATAAATAGATATTTTAATAATATGGGATTTTGTTGCAAACAATTTTAGTGTATTATACTATTGATTAAAATTTTTAATTATTAATAATCTATACTGCTGTATGTCTCATATACAGTATATACAATTAATCAATAATTATTATAAAATTTAATTATTTGGCGTCTGTTCAAAATATAATGAAATAATCATTTAAAACAATATGTTTATATAATTAACAATTATATTATAGAATATGTTTAACCTTAGTATGAAATAGCATTTTACAGTACTGTATATTATATACACACTTATCATATAAATTACTTTACTATACTGTAGTTTCTATTATTTAAACATAATATGTTCAAAACAATAAATTATTATTATTACCATTAGTTTATAAAATAGGATATAACAACATTTGCTAAATGATATTTGTCTGACATAATTAAGCTTTAATTTTTTGTTGCTGTCAATTATAATTATATTATAAATTTTATGTCAATGTTTACAGTTTAATAATTATTACTTTAATTGAAATTATGTGGGAATGTTGTGATCTTATACTAAATACAATTACAAATACAAAGTTTGATATAAATCTGTAATTTAATTATTAAAATTGTGCATATTATATATATTTATTAGTTTATATGCATATATTGTTTTTATATATTATATAAATATATATTAATCACAATTATGAATATTTTTATTTCAATATCTTTATTTTTTATTTAAAATTTATCTTATAAGATTATTATTGTTTTATAAATAAATCTATAAGGAATACTAATAAAGATATAATTACACTACCGGTATATTACAATATGTACTGTAATGGTTAATGAAATATTTAATATATATACTAAATATATAGTACATAACAACAAATATAATACTTTGAACTTAATTTAGTCAACACTTATACTAATATTGATATAACTTACTAATAACTGATCTAATAATATACAATTTTTGTTTAAATGTTTAGTAATGTTTTATCTCGTATCTAAAACTAAACGACATTAAATGAGTTTAGGATAAAACATAAAAAATAAAATCGAGAGATCGGGTAAATAGATAACACATATTTGATTTCAATTTATTTTTAAATATATTTTTAGTTAAACAATGCTATTGTTGTAAAGTATTTTTCATTTAAAAAACTAACAATCGATTAGATATACAAACAAGAATTTATCCTAAATTATAAATTATATAATAAATATAAAATAAATAAAAGCTAACAAAAGCTTTATATCGTTAAACTTATTTGTATAAATTATCCAAAAATTATTCTTAAAATACAATTAATATTATATTATTTTTATTTAACTATCAATATTATTCCATATTATTTTTCGTTTAAGTTATAAATAAATAAATAAAGTAATGTTCATTTGATAAAAATAATTTATACTTATTGATATTATAAAATTTTGGTCAATTTATTATATTGACATAAATATATTTTCTAAAAAATGTTTACTGTATTTTCCAAACGGATATTATGAGATAATTACCATTGAAAAAAATTATAAGGTTTTACAGTATAATAATTGATTATAATATATATAAAAGTGTTGATCACATACCGGAGCAGTGGAACTCCGGTTTTATTAGGGATACGCTTGTGTTATTGCACATCATCTCTATTTTGAGTTATCTTAATTATTTTATATATATATTAAATAGATATATTTAGTTGATAATAACATCTATTGAATGCCAAAATAGTAATTATTGCTCAATAAATATATCATTTAAATTGAATTTATTGTTACTTTGCAAACATCTTTTTATATATAATAAGTCGTTTTCTAAGTTTGCATTTATAAAATGTTGGTTCATAACAATCATTCAAACTTAACTTTTTTAATGTATAAATGTTTCCTGTAGTGAAAACTGCAGTAAATACCAATAATTGAATAAAATATTAGATAATCATAAGCGTGATAACAATAAATATTGTTAAAATTATTAACCACATATGATTTGTTATTATTACTATATTATTATTAGAAAACTGTTTGCTTAACGTAATATAGGAGACATTACCCCTGAGCATTGACGTGATGATTATATGATATAGGTCAATTCAATATAAATTATTTATTGATATTAATATTTTTATCAATATTTTTAAAAATATAAATATTAATTATATATTAAGTTTAACAGTATTATAATAGCACTTAAAAGTAATTTATTTTGAATTAATTGATACATAGTTTGCTATCTAAATGTTTATTATTTTCAAAAATATTATATTGGGTGCAACAAAAAAGTCAATAAAAGCTGTTAAAGTTATTCTCAAATATTTTAAACTAATCTTTGAAAGTTCGATATAATTTTCATATAATTTATTTACATATAATGTTACTTTTTAAATATTTTTACTCCAATTTTTAAAATTTATCACATTTTAGATATTAAGTTTAATGTTTTTTATTAATAATCAAAATGATTGAAAATTAATCATCAATTTAATCAAGACAGTAATTAAATGCAAATAAATAGTTAATATATTTTAATTTATAATTAATTTTTACAAAACAAATTAATTATTTCGATTTATTAAAATAAAATAGTATAATTAAAACTTTAATATAGTATATCAGATATATTAATCTTATGTTTAATCGATAATAAACTTTTTGGGAGAATTTAATTGATTTTTCTAAACCAACCTTTACTTTAAACTAATCACTAAATCCTAATCATATAAATTAAAATTTGAGACAAAATTAAGTTAATAGCAAAAGATGTTTATTTGATGTAATGTTTACTGTCATTAGTGCGATAGTTGTGTGTATTATTGGATTCAAATGTCTCATAAGGATCGTCATTATGATTGTCACGACTCCATGAGTGCGTGTTTTCACATTTATTACAATTATTATCAAACAAAATATGTTTATCTTCTTCGGGATCAGTAGTGACACTCAATTGCTTACAACGTCTCCATTTTGCCCTTCGGTTTTGAAACCAAGTCTTAATTTGTCGCTCAGAGAGTGCCAACTGAGAGGCAATGGTTTTCCTTTCATCCGGTGATAAGTATTTTTGTTGTCCGAACCGCTTCTCCAAAGTCTGCAACTGTTGACAAGTGAACCGAATTTGTCCGCCTTTTCGGGGCTTCGCTTGCATTAGCATTCGATGTCGAAGCAGATAATGTTGCCATACTATGGCATCACCACCAATACCTCCCGATCCCATTTCACATACATTATCATTATCTATAATTAAGTTCATTATAAATATGTATTTAAAATAATTTAAAAAGCTATTAATGTAATATAACTAGAATTATTATGTATATAGATTATATTAATAGATCCAGTATTAATTTTTTAAAATAACTATACAATATAAAAAATTATAATAACTAATTGAAATTTTAAATTAAATTTATTTTATATCATATATATATATATAAATGAAAACAATTAATTACCGGAATTATCCAATAAATGATTCCAATTATAATAATTGATTGGATGGCTGTAGTCTTGATAATCATTATTATTGGTAATATATGAGTGAAATGAATGATTTTGATAATAATTGATTTTAATGTCTTCATAATTACAATTATTTTGAATGTCATTATTTGGTTTATCACTGTTTAATATATCATTTATCATAAAAGAGTTCATTTTGTTTGATTGAAATATTATTTCTTTGATTTCATGCTTTATAATCACTTAACAAATAATAAATTAATAATTTCCTACAATAATATATTTATATGTTTATAAAAACATCAGTATTGCCTTTTTATGTATAAATAGACTAAATATGTATATAAATGTAATGCTTTTAAATTGATTGTTAGGAAATAGTGAAGCGTAGGACTCAATCAAAATACATATCTATAACAAAACAGTTTTGATAGTTTGGTCGTACATTCAAATGATTATCTGCTAATACATTGCCGACATCGTTGGCTTTGTAAGTGTTACACAACAATCAAATGCCGGTTCTAAAGGAAACACATGTGTGGAGGAACTCATACAACAATGTTAACTATAGATTACATTTTCATTGATTTTATTTATTCATATAATATTTTTATCATATAAATAAATTTGTCACATTATTATTATTGTCCAATTTTTTTTGTAGATAACTTATTTGTTATATCTAATGTTTATTTAAAAAACAAATGTTATTCAATAAAATTAGCATTAAATATTATATTATAAACTTTATACCATTATATAACTAAACATTAATGTTACTATTTTTAATTTGCTTTATTTTTTTTTAATTTCAATATTATTATAAAAATAAGAAATGTAGAAAAATTAGTTTTTCATAAAATTTATTGGAGTAACTTTACATTTATTACGGTTAATACTATTAGTAAATATTTTTACTAATTTAAGAATGTGATAAAAGTAATTAATTTAAATATATTTTTAATTTTTCTACAATAATATATTATTTTTCTTTTGTAAGAAAAATAATTTATTGGTTTATAAAATACAATTTTTCTATAACGTTATAACATTTAAATCACGAAATTTTAAGTTAAATGTAAAATTATTTCTTACAAAATGATTATTTTTCTCTTTTAATTAATGTGTTTGAATGCACCTCTAGTTTGTTCAATACACCTGCTTTTACTAAACAAAACACAAATACAATTTATTTATTAAATTAGTTAATCAGTCAACTATATCTATATAAGCCAACAATCCTATTGAAAACCTTGATATGGTTATACAGTCGGCCGACTAAATAGCAATATATATATATATATATAATGTATAACTTATTAGTGGGTATTAATGTAAAATAATGTGAAACTTAGCAAAATGTTCAACAATTTGAGCAATAATTCAACTATTATTGCCATAAAAACGTTTGTATAAATAGTTTGTGTTAGACTCGGGGCGTAACATAATTTGGCCCAACATCTCTCTCTCTCTCTCTCTCTCTCTCTCTCTCTCTCTTCTATCACACACATAAACATTTATTGAGATCCCGGTGCTCATTGCCTGTTAAAAGTATTTGTATGATGTAGTGATGGCCTCTAAATATGTGAAAATAGCAGAAAGACTACTGAAAAACACATTAAAAGGAAATATTGGTTTTGAGTCGTGATTTGGACTTTTATTTATCTGTAAAATTTACACACATATGTGTGAAACGGGCCCTCCTTTTCATATATCTATAGGATTTGGTGTAAAAAAGGCGGACAGAGTTCGTGCAAATCAGTCTCAATCGCACTTTTACTTAATCATTACACGCAATGTAATTACCTTTTCTGAAGCAATCAAACAATTATAATAATAATAATAATTTAAACACTAAAGAAAACACTAAATAAATGAATCTTTTTATCTTTAATTTTAATCGTAAATATAGTCATTGATTGCATTGACTTTTAGTTAAACGATTAGTATTTAGTAGTAGTAGTAGTAGTCGTAGTAGTGTTCACTTAACTCGCAAATTGATTTTAACGTTTGTGTGTTTGAGATGAAGATAATTGTAATTGTATTTAATAAATTGTATGCACACATACATACATACATAAATACAATCATATAATTTATACCTCCAATCAATAAGTAATTAATGTACAAAAAAACTTTACTCTATAAAGTATAGTAATATATTGTAAGAAAATAATAAAAAGTGATTTCTTTTCGTGCAATCAAGAGTTTATGTTCACACAATGACATCACATTAACAATCAAACAATCATTTAATTTAATGAACTGATTGTCAACTCTCTCTACAATTTTATGACTTTCTTTCCAATTGATTTTTAACGTCTTTTCATTAATGATGTGAATAAAATATATATATATATATATGGCATATCTCTTTTATAATTGCTGTAAATGTCTATTTATATTAACGTTACTTAAATTAATTGAATTAAAAATCTTATAATCTAACGATTTGTAATTATTGAGTTTTTAGTTAAGTTTATTAACAAATATTATGCTAATTATTTTATTAGATGTGTGTTTAGATCTCTTTAATTATGTTATACACTGTATACAGTAGATTACCAGTTAAGGTCCACTGTATTTTATCAATAAATATTATTATTACAAACATCTTATTAATTGATTATCATTTTAATAAAAATATTAGACTAAATTGAGTTAAATAACAGCAGTCAATTACATTATATGATTTTTATTTATGTTTCATTGATTAATATAATAAGTGAATCAACATTTATTTGCGCTTTAATGAAGATATCCCATAATATTAACATACTGTATAATCTAACATAACATTTACTATCAAATATATTATTAGTTATTATGACAAGTAATTTAATTTACAATCATTATAAATCTTATAATAAAAATAAAATAATAATTTAAATCAATTACAAATAGTTTTATTGGCTATTAATAAAGATTTTATATATATATATATATATATAACTTATATTATATAAGTTATATATAATATAAATCTTGATTTTAATGCTTAAATTTTATCTCTCAGTTTATTTTATTTATTTAGTGTTAAACCTGAAATTATAATATCAGTTACAATCAGATTTTTATTTTTGCGTTAATTAATTTCTATTAACACAAAAATATACAATATTTACATATAATTCTTAAATTTTACCAGTTATTAGTAATAACAAATATATATATATATATATATATATTATGTTTTTTAATTAGTTTTTAATCATAAGTTATTAAAAATGTAAATAATTAAAAGTTTATGTTTGATATAAAAATTTGTTTATAATATTTTAGTATAACTGAAATAAGTAATAATGCTAAATTATTTGTGTTTAGATATTAATATTAATATTGATATTTAATATAAAATATTAATAATTAAAAACTAGATTTTAACATATCTACATATAATATACTACTGTATATATAATAATTGAAAAAATTATATTTGTTAAATTTATACTTAAGTTAAGTCAAATTAAGCTAATGTTATGATATTTCAAATTTCAAATTAAAAAATATATAATTTTAATTACTTTTAATTATAACAAATCATAATTTATTTTCTTGAACTCATTAATAACCAAAAGGTGTCATCTATTTTAATCACCGGTTGTTTGTGAAGAGAGGTTTTGAAGTAAACATTAAAACACCAGTTCCTCTCAAAAGTAAAAATTAAATAATTAAATGACAGTTTTTAGAGTTTTTTTTTTGCTTTAACTCTCTTATAATTGCAAAAGTTTACATTTTAAAATTATACGTTAAGTTAAAGAAAAAAGTAAAGATTGAATTTATCATCAATTAATAATTTATTATTAATTTCTGTAGAAAACACAATAATATATCAAAATATAATACTTTAATATTATATTATATTTAAAATGTTTTTATTTTTATAAATAATAATTTGTTTTAAAATTAAGCAAAACAAAAGTAATGAAATAAATGATACAAATGAGTAAAGTTAATATTGAATGTTGAATTTAAAACCGGTATATCGTATTTTCAAGTATTTTTAAATAACATGAAAATATTAACAAAAATATTGAAAAACTACTAAATGTCTGGTCAGAGATAAGTAAGAGAGAAAAAACAATGTAATAATTGATGAGACAATGATTGCAATTTACCTCCAAATAGACAGTGAGTTATTATAGTATGCAATATATATATACATTATCTACACATACAGTCTTAAGACGACTCAACCTTTAGTTCAATGCTAGACATTAGCTAAGAGTTTGTTTTAGTGGGCATTTTAAGCAATTTTTTCTCTCTTTCTTTCTCTCTCTCTCTCTCTCTCTCTCTCTCTCTCTCTCTCTTTGACAAATCATGACAGATAGTTGGGAACTCATGCAGGCATTGGCAAAGAAGTCCTAATTAATTAGCTGTCAGTTTGATTGAATCCAAATATGAATTAAATAGAAATGTGATCATTGCTTAAGAATTATTAGCCCAAGAATTAGATCCATTGGCCAATTGGTTATATAAAAACACTATTAATATATTGAGTCTCATTTATGTAGCAATTTGTGACTTCTCTCCCTCTCTCAGTGCCCGCTATTCATTAAAATCAAACCATTATATATAAAATTCATGACATTTCAAGTTTCAAATTAATCGATTCAAACATTATATAATTGATGAGATAATTATCTCAAAACATAATTCATTGTTTGTCGGATTCTGGCTTTTCATACATACAATCATTTGCTATCATTTGTGTTACGAATTTAAGTTTTTTTATTTGTTTGATTAAAACCTTGAAAATATTTTCTTTCTATATTATCAACGCTATTGTTAAAGATTTTTACTATTTATAAATTATAAAATTATTATATATTGAGTACAAAATTTGGGCCATATTTAGTAACAAAACTAAACTTTTAATATCTTATGTTATAATTTTATATTTTTAATAAAAATGTGGTAATCAATCATATGTTATGTTGACTTAAACAGCAAGTAATGAAATTAATGGCAATAACATTGTGATTAAATTTTTTGCATCAATTGGTAAATAGAATTAATATAAATAACACAGAAATACAGTAATACAGAATCACATATAATTTTTAAAAAATTAATATTATAA